CTTTGTCGATAATGGTGAGTAGCAGGTTAATAATTTTTTTTCTTCTCATAAGACTTCAGATGCAATAACTTTTTGCAAATATGTCTTTTCAAAGAATAGCAAAGCAAAAAGATAGCACTTCATAGGAATCAACAAGTTTTCTGACGGATAAATCACGACAGAGCTAATGCCACCTTAGTTAAGGAAAAAGACTTTTGGCCTGAAATGACTAGGAGTCTTCCACTTATTTGTATTGTGGTAGCCTTCTTGTTCATAATTCCACGAGAAAAAATTATGTTTTATTTGATACGGACTACGTTGTCAAGAAAAAGAACGTTCATGACATAACGAGTCGAAGTTGCACGTACATCAGAACTAAAGCATGTCGTATCGTGGATGTGTAGTTTACCCATGTACTAAACTCTACCTTTTCTTGGGATGTTCTTTACCCATAAAATGTAATTCTATAAAATGCAATGTATTTTGCAAAATATAACATAACTAATTCTGCAAAATGTAAATTGTCGTAGTGAAAGTAGAACGAAAGTAGTGAAGTCTGCCGTTCATATGCTTGAACTTCCACGTTTAGACTGACTTTTGGTTTAAACTCCCTTGCGTTTCTTGCACTCTCTTACATGGGTAGCGTTGTGGTTCCATTGCCTTTCAACGTGCTTATGGTCCTTGTTCAACCAAGGCTTAAGCTAAGCAGACCTCCATTTTCTCTAAGGCTAGGGAATTAGAGCTAGACTTGTCTGGAAAAAAAAACGTCCCCGCTTACAGTAGGTTTTTCGAGCTGTTTCGTCCGAAGTAATGACTGAGCGGAACTTCAAAAAAGCGTCCATCATCCTCATTTTTTTAATGGAGCTTTCCTCAGTAGCTAATTTTCTAAATCAAATTGGTAAAACGTCACCAATAGAAGAGCACCAAATACGATTAAAGAATAAGGTGCCAAACAGTGCCGTTGCAAAGACAATCCACTAGAAGGAGGTTTACTTATTTAAATTTCGATAAAATCAAACAATACATAAATTGAGTGTAAAATTTTCATTATTTGCATTTTCTCAGGATCACGAAAAAATCAAAGACGAGTTTTAATAAGCCTGCGCCAATATATCACTGGACTGTTTCAAATTAATTGAGGACTTTAATTATAAGTTAAATGGCATGCGACCATGTGAAACCTGCTCTTATTTCCTTAGCAACTGATTACAAAGATTTCTTTATGTCAATGAATCAAATGTTTGAATTACTACCAGTGAGGAAATTAACTGAGCGTTAATTAGTACCAGGTCCTCAAGTGATTCGAGCTGGATGTGTAGTTCAGCCGGATATTGAAAAACAGCTGAGGATCAGACTCGGTGATTGAATTGGGAACACCACTGAACTATACCTATTGTTTTCAACTGAAAGGGAGTCACCCTTTCTTTCGCCATTGTCAACAACTTTCGGCATCCAGTTTTCGTTTCCCTCTATAATGAACGTGGGATCGTAGATCACCTATTACAGAAGCCTTACCTTTAAAAACATTTCTTTTTTATTCATTAATGACATCTTCTGCGTTATTTTTGTCCCATTAAATTTACAATTAAAAATCAGTTGAGTAATTAAGAAAATTAACAAAAAGGCAGAAATATCTGGTCGCCTAGTTGAGATATGAAGGTTGTCGAACTTAGTGGACAAGCTGGCAGACTAACCACAAAAACGCGTAACACCTCGCTTAAGTGCTTTCAGCTAATAACAAACGAGCCTAAAATTGGCAAATTTTTATTCGTTATAGGACATGGCGCAGCTATCAGGGCGCGTGTCGCGAAGTGGTCGGCGGCGCCCTGAAACACACATGGGACCGACCCCGCGCCCATAGCCCACCAAGCCTTCCATTCCTCCGGGTTGGGAAAATTGGTACCAGACTTGTCTGGGAGGATAGCAGCACTGGCTCGATACATCGGTAGGCCACCGCGAGTCATTGTAAAGGCCAGATATGCATTCGGTCACCTCCAACGATACTTAATGAAGTAGAATGCATGGCGCATCCTTCAGGGATTGATCAACACAGAGAGCTTTGTCGTTTCATTGTCTATAGGAGATCAACTAATCTAGAAAGGAACACTTACAGCTGCTTTTTTATTCTGAAGTAGAGTGGAATTCACTTTTCTTCTACACAAATACCATAACCTTTGATGGTTTTCGCTCAGAAAAGCCATTACAACATTCCGCCATAGAATTCTAGTTACTAAAAACTAGAAGGTACTTTTTCATTTCAGCGTAAAGAATATTGTCTTTAAACCACTTTGTTTTCACTTGAAGCCTAAACACACGAAGAATTCAAGATGAAAGAGAAATCATTTATTGCAGAAGGAACACCAAAGAAAGCTCATGAATTTATGACCTAAATCTATGTTTGCTCAAATTCCGTGTAAAAAAAATTTCGATTTCTTGCTTCGAACTTAAAATACACATATTTCAGCCATAAAAATAATAATACATTAGCAAAACTTGGACCCCGGGCCAGATCGGACCACGATTTCCCTTTCTGGGAACCCGCGCATTACACTCAACGCTACGGAGGCCCTTGATTTGCGTTTAACTCAGCTAGTTTTCTACTTAACGCAGCCATCAGCAATCATCCGTCAGCGGAATTCTCAGTAAAGTTTAATGTAAGCAAGACCCGTTTTATACATCATATTTTATCTCGGAAACAAGATGAATGCAGTACACATCATTTGGGTGGAACTGCATGCTGGTGGAGCACTGTGCTGCTCTGCTCAAATTCTCAGTCGCAATTTGGCCATTGGAAAAGCAGGCCGTTTCTATCGTGACATCCCTTTGGCGTTATTCTTGATTTTTCAATTAGGGTTAAGCGTGCAGGAACTTTTATTTTTGTTCACCTAATTGTTAAAAGTTATCGGTTGTGCTTGCAGCAGTTTTACTTAACATTGTCAAATGCTCATCAACCCTGTCCTCATCACATTTCATTGCTTCCAGTTACGAGAACAATGCTTTTGAAAGATCTGGTACATCGTGCGCTTGAACACGATTACCTCAAGCTTTTTTCATATTTATATAAACAGCCCTAAGCAGTCAAGACTCAAAAATCTGTTGACAATCTCGTGCTCATCAGGAATAGATCTCAGAAACTTCTAGATCTTGTTGAATAGCGGCAAATTGGTTGGAAGCAGACCACTCAACAGAATATTTTCAACAACCTATTAAAAGAAGGATGTCTGATGTCTCTCTTTTACTGGCTTTTTCAGAAAAGGGAGTTTGCCGCTGACAGTGAACAGTGTCTTTGCTTTATTTTACGCTGACAGTGAAAGCCAGTCCGTTTGCCTTATTTTCTGGGTGACGGCGCTGCGTATTTCACACGTCGACAACGAAAAATCTCCACAAATAGAATGAATTTGAAAAAGAGTAACGTGCCTCGAAAATTCGAAAATTTTCAGCCTTTTATCATCTAATCATTTGCATCACCAAAACACCTTCATTATTTCATTCGTCACCTCTACCGGTCATTTTCCGCTCAACCCAAAATGAAAGCAGACCACATAGAGCGTTTAACACTAATCTGGTGTCTGTGTTGTTCTTGCAACTTTTGTGCCGACTCAAGAAGTCTTTATGAGAACACTATTCATACAATAAGAGCTCTTTATCTCATCAGTAAACTGGAATTAGCCACTTTGAGCGTCTGACTACCTTGATGTCGTCACCTTCTGCCAGGGCCAGCGAAGCTCATGAATTTAGTGGCCTGAATTCGTTACATTATTGCCTAGAAACTATTTTTCAAAAATGGAGCAACGTCATTAAGATTGTCGTTACCACCCTTCATATCCGCTTTTATTACAAAGTATCTAAATGGAACTTGAAATGACGTTTGCGGATATCATAAATGAAAATGAAACCTCATGGCTGCTTTTGATAGCATCTATTAATGAAAAACACTTCCGAAAAACTTCCCACACATAGCATTGTGTTCTTTTTGTAGTAACCTTCCCTGCATTGCCTAAATTTCTCTCAACTTTGTTTGTAATGCAATCATCATACGGAACTGTTTCCATCGATTCCAAAGAAGAGCGTTCTACTCTCGACTTCAATCGAAGATTCACTTCTATTCTTCCACCTTATTATGTCACCTATGCCCTTGTAGGTTTATATCTGCTTCTTGTTTCTTGATACTAAACTCTACACTAACCCCCATTCATCACGTTAACTTCTCCACGCAGGTGCAAATAACTGGAATATTCCAAGATATTTGCGCAATCTGTCCTGAATAGCTCATCAGAAATGTCACTGCTTTTCATAATCGCCGTTCTCTTATGGCTAAACTAGAAACCAATTTTCTAATGGACGCCATCGAAATAAGCCCGTATTTGTTCTGCACCGCTAACGCTTCGAGTTATAAAAACGGCGTTATTAAAAAGCCGAAGATGGAATGGCTTTCACTCCGATGCCGTCCTTTTCTAACCCTCGAATGACGCTCATGAGAGCTCTTGCAAGCAATTTTAATAAGATTGTAGCGCCATGACAAACCCATATTTTGCGGCATTGATAGTGGTGTTATACAATGAAGTAGTGAGGTTTTTTTTTTCGTGAAGTATCCATTCTGTTAACATGGATCATGGTTAATTAAATAGGAAAGTTCTGCCTCTATAGAACTTTATTGACCACTTTTGTTCTAACTGAGCCAAACATCTTTTTTGGGTTAGTGAAAAAGGAATAAATTTACTCCATTGTTTTTGCGGCGGCTGTCGCTTTCTGTTATGACAATCGTTTTGATCATGGCTTCTATAAACAGTTTGCAGACATCAGCATACAAATTGGGCGATAATTGTCCATGTCGTATGGGTTGCCTCCTTATGTAACAACATAGCACTTTAGGGGTAATTTCCAAAACCAACTTTCTATTAACCTCGGAATTAATCGCTAGTTGATCTAATGCGACTGTAATTTATGTTTCGGGTTTTTCTGTTGAGCACATGGAAATATTTGGTTGATTATATTGCAATAAACTTGACATTTCCGGGCTCTTAGGGTGAATGGAATGAAACGAACCGGGTACAGAGACGTATTACGAGCAATAACATCAGCAGATCTCTTAGCAATTTCTAGAAGTGGTGCGAAAGAACAAAGTACCGAGCGCTGTTAAAAATACGCTGGGGTTCTATTGAATAAGAGAGCTGTATTTTGTGGATATTCCATTGTAAGGACAGAAGAAAGAAGGCGCTGCCATCTGCACTGCGTAGCAAGAAGCGTAAAAATAATCTCTATGGAAGCACTGTAGCGCTTCTCATTTACAGCCTTGTTTGTGGATTGTGGTCTCCACTGCTGGTGATTCGTGCACTGGTGCCTTCATTTCTTCTTATGAAGATCATTTCTAAGAACTGGCTCAACTTTACGAACACTCTGCGCTTCTGCTGTTTTGATTTATTTTTGACTCATGAGTGTTATACTTAATTAGGAGTGGATTTGAAAATATGGTGGTGCCTATGGCATATCTTTCATAGTAAGTGTTATCCAGTACTGCAGTTGTGGCACTGTACTGCTGTTCTCTCAGGGATCCAGCCCGATTACAGCAACTCGTAAATTGACACAGTACCTGCTGTTTGGCCAACAGAATATCGGAGAGGTCACATCCTTGAGAAAGTCCTGCATTGATCAAGCACATTCGATTTCGTTTTGATGTTCGCGATGGAACATATCTGAAACACTAAAGACGTTCACCAAAAGAATCTGATTTTTTCATTCCTCATAAGTAGTAATAATTAATGTCCGCTTACAGGAGAAATCGTCAAGAAATATATGAAAGCTACTAATGAACTCGCTGTGATTTTAAGAGTTAATCTAATGGCTTTTTTAACTCTGCATCTTAAGTATTAGAAAAAAAATTGTGCCTCTGGTATATGTCACCTCAACTAATCAGTGAGACCACAGGTGGGCTCATGAGAACTTGAACTCCCTTAAACACTACCACAAGAAGCTTTGTAATAAAGTATTCTAGTAGCTCTCCTAGCTTTTATTTTTTCGATATTATCTATTTTTTACCAAGCGTAAAGGTGCCTCGATTAACTCACTCCCAGTCACTCCACAGCGACACTTCTCTATCTTGTGTTGGATTGATGATTCCGTCCTCAAATCGTTGCAATCGTGCTCCCACCACTATTATGCAGACGAAAGGGACGACTAGCGATATCGAAAGCTTCATTTAGTATACCTTAAAACAAGATCGAACTTTGTTCTAAAACCTGTTCACTCCTGTTCTACTGAGATTTGCTAGAATTGCTAGGAAAACTAAAACCAACATAACTACAAGCGAAGAGATCCAAACGGGTTATGTTATGGTGAAAAATAAACGAGCAATATCTTCATTATCTAACCAATTTGTCTAAAAGAGAAAGTAACTCAAAATGTAGCAGACACGGGATTCCGGTTTAAAAATTCAAGGGCATCACAAGTGTTCAAAAGAAGTTCGGCTATCGAACAGTTTTCTTAGCAGTCTTATAACATTGCCTTATTAAACCTTGAGAAAAGCATGTAGAAATCAAAACAACATTTTCAAATCGAATTTTTGATTATTGCTGCCACCCAAGAAGCCTTTTCGACTACGTCGGAAGAAAAAACCGTGTTTTGCTGTCTGTTTCGTTGTACCGGACATAACTGATGAAGACATGATGTTAGGCTCCAAGTAAATAGTGGCTGAATTTGAGAGGAATCAAATGAATGAAAGGGTCGTAGAAAAGGAACAACTCGGAACCGAATGTGAAATGCGCACTTGAGAGCACAACGATGGTAAGTTTTTCGTTTGGTTCACGGCAGTGCGCTTGCAGTACAGAATTCCAAAGCAGTCCTCGAAGCCGTTGTCCACTGACACGATAGAATTTCAGGTCTGATATGAATTACGCTACACATTTTCTCTACTTTCTACCTTTTCCTTGCTATCTCTCCTGCTTCTTCGATCTCTCATAAATCCACTTCAATTCTCGTTAAATATCAAGATCTCAATATTTTTAACATTTTCATCTTCTCGCACAGCATTCCTTGCCTTTCCGTTATAAAGTTGAAGCTTGTATATTAAGAAACAACCATCAGCATGATTCGAATGACGTGTCGAAGTTTTGAACTTAAGTGGGTACATAACATGAAAGGGAAGTAGTGAACAGAGATGGTGCGTATAGCACTCTTGCTCGCTGGGTCGATCCGCCCAACCCAACCAAGCCTCCTATTCCTTTGCCGTTGGTAAAATGGCATCGGAATTGCCAACAAAAATCTTTGTCACAAAAATTAAGAACCATTTGTGGTGGAAACCAGAGCATAGTCTAATAGAGCAATCCTATGATTCATGAAAGAGGTAAGGGCCTCAAATGGCAGGCGAAAGCAAACGCGTATCTGAATAACTTGGTGGATGACGGATGGTAGGTGGTGAAACAAATAAAGCAATAGATGGTTATAAAACGTGACGTCAACACATGAATGAGAAAAAAATGTGAAACACGACAGTTCAACATTAAGCTCATAAATGAGGGACAATGCCATTTGCAAAGCAGACTTTATGCTGCGACAATGAAGACAAGACATAATTCGAATCCTCCACACAATAGTACACTTTTTAAAAATTCATTTGTCGCAAACTCGAATTATGGTAAATAACTCAGCGGACGTTTTTCGAATTGTCGTTGAGGTATATCGAAGAAAAACTAGAAGAACTATTCTTACGAAAGCTGCTACATAACTTTGTAAAGTTGTTCACCCGATTTTGTAAGAATTCTAATGAGCTCCAAATTATTTTCGCTTTAACTGGTATGTTACTGACTTGGTAAAATATTTTCTTCTAAAGCTCTAAGGTTTTTATAAAAGCCATATCACGTTTTCGAGTCCGTGAACCATTTTCCCTTCGATAATGAAGAACACTCGTAAAGAAAGCTACGACAAGTCAATGAACCATAGTAGAGTATAAGTAAACCATTAATAACTTATAATGCTGTCAATCATGAAGCAAATTTCGAGGCAGAATTAAACTCTACTCTTTATGCCTCGAACCATGACTGTTCAGCTGTTTCCGCTAATTCCCGTAAAACGAAAAGCGTAACATTTTTTGGTAGGGTGGTTTTCTCTGGTTTCAGGACATTGTCCAACCACAGGGAGCCGTGGAGCTTTACTGCATCATAGTTTTCCTCTTCTGTATGAAAAAATCAAGTACTTCGGATGAACATCAACTTGTAAGGCACCAAGGAAGACCAAAGTTACGATGAGGTGATGAACCGCAGGGTTATAAAAAGCATGAAGCATAATTCGTGTGCTCCTTTGCTAGTTGAATACTAAATCAACCATCGCTTCGACTATTCTCACAGCCCATTCAAATCTTTTGATTTTGGCCGGATTTTTTTTGCAACGTGCTCACGTTTTTTATTCCTCGCTCCTCAGTCTAGTCGATTAGACACTCTTTTTGAAATCTAATCTCCATTTCCAACTAATTATTTACTGCCTACTCTTTTTTATTTGCGGCCCGGAGTTTTCCAAATATCTCAGCATCACTGAAGTTATATTTCGCAACATACCCTGCTATTAAAAAGAGTTGCCAGTAAATAATAAGTTGAAATAGTTATTATAAGTAAAGCCTCAGCTCAACTGGGTTCATTGCCCATTTGCGCTCTCCAGATCAATCGCCGACGGGTGATTGCTGATAGCTTGCTGCTTGATCGATAGAATTGGCTGAGAGACAAGCAAAACGAAGGAACCGCATGGTGTGGTGGTGAAAGCGTTAACTCACTGAAAGAGTTATAGGGCGCTTGTTCCTTAGCACAGGCATCTGCGGTCCGGAGTTTCTCAAAGAGCATCATTGAAGTTATATCTCACTTTTGATACCTGTAATTGTTCTTTCGTGTCCTAAATATGTGGCTCTTCTATTTCCAAATTTCTCATTTCTAATAAAAACTAACATTTCATCTCGGAAAATATAACGAAACTGTTATCTGGAAGGAACAAATATCTCACAATCCACGTTAAAACACCTTCAATAAAAATTAAGACACTGCATTTAACAAATAAAATTATTTGAATTTCACATAACGTTTCAGTTACGTCACAGGTCTAAGTACTGATTGTCAAAACGTAGGCTTCAACCTTTAATTTGAGATTTGAACAAACAAGTGGTCGACAAAGTTTAAGGCTCCCTGTGACAGCTTCATGTTTTCGAAAAGGTAGAACCTAGTGAAAGGACCGTTGAGAATGCATCAGTATTTAGACCTCCACCTTTCATCATCTGCTCCCTTCTATAGCCTACCTACTCATGTTAACTGGTCAATGTGCATAGCTGTCGAATTACCATGTACAGTGCCAGTTTTGCCTCGCAAACTGAGAAGTTCGACATTTTAAATGGAAGCTTCGCCAGGAATAAATACATAGTACAACAAAATCCAGCGAACTTTTCATGGTCACTTTTTCATCAAAAATACTTAAAGCAGCTTTCGTCAAATGGTATGGTGCTTTTCGCATCCCTTGCGAGACGGTGGCATGCAGTGGATCGAAACAAACTTTGCTAATGGTTTTTCGAGCTGATTGCTTATTAACAAAACTGCAGGTGATAAATGAAATCACCTGCTCAACTTGTGAAGAAGTAATAGCGCTTTCCACGAAGGAGTTACTAGTGATAGATGTGCACGAGCATTTAGAATGAAATTTTAGATGGAGATGATATACAGTGATTAAGCCAACGTCTTGTTGAGCGTAAGAACGATTCGACGTTCCACCGTATTTTTCCATTAAAGCTTAAGAGTGGATTTCAAAAAAAACAAATGATTGCTCAGTCACATCTATCTCTGTCAGAAATCTTACGGGATTCCATAGCAATTACGAAGTCCATGAAAAACTGCGGTCTATGAAAGCAAATCTGCTCCACCGGTTTTACAGAAACCTTTATCACATTTCTAAATCTTTGTAGGAAGAAATAGTAAAACGTTCAAGTTTTTCATTGATTTATTCATTCTACAATATGCCTTAAACACCGCTTTTCCTGTTGTAAATGAGGCAGAAGAACTAAACGACAAAGTTCGAAATGAGCAAGGAAAAGGTTAACTCACTTACGGGCTCAATTAAAAACCAGGAACTAAACTTCGAAAACTAAAAACAGCACCAGTGTGGTGATAATTTCACTCTCTTCCACTAGTTCCTAGGCAAGGCCTTGATTTGAGCGGAATCACAGAGGAGATCGGACTACATGATTCTTAGTAATGAATGAAAACTGATGTAAAACGAGTAATTCACTGTTTTTTGAAATCATATACCATTTTTGAAAGCGATCTAGAAAATGGTTTTCATCGAGGACCTAAAACATGGATTACGGAACTCGAAGATTTTTTCAAAGCTCTGACATTTCTAGACTTGGAATTCGTAATCTCTTTTCACCTCGTTCTACTATATCTGAAAGAAATCACTTCCGAGTTCAATTCAAGGTATGAAAAATGCTAAAAGTGCAAAACCCTAACACTGATGGGTTTACGGTAGATTGGACGATGCGAAAATATTGTGCACACACCATATACAAAACTGAAAGAAAATCGCTGTAACTATTGGAAATGTCATTTCATAGATTCTGGGTTATGCAGTTTCCTAAATTAAACCAGAATGAAGTAATTTAGTTGAACAATAGCCTGTCCATCACTGCTTTGAAAGGTAACAGATCGCAAAATAATACGTGTATACTGATGAGTCTAGCAAATAAACCATCTGCCTCCTCCTTCTTCAGCAACCAAACACTCACGTATGACGTGATGAAGAAAAACCTTTGATGGCGTCTTCATGAAAAGAAGAACTCCGCCGTATACTCTACGAACAAGCTTTGGAAGACACTGATAGGAATTAGTATGTTTATCTGGATGTTAAACTGGCACCGCCCACGCTAAAGACGTCGACTGTGGCTCATTTGTCTAATGCGCTTGTCTTCAACCAAAAACGCATTAAATCTGCATACGGGCATAAATAAAGAGGATCTCGCCACTGTGGTATGCCTAGCCCAAGAATCAATTTAGGGTTCTTCAGCACCAAGTGTAACTCTGATGCTGAAGACGACCCAGAAAGGTTCCATAGGAGCAGTGGCGCACCTCGTGGATCAGAAGACATACCGGAGTGCCCCAGCGCCAATGGCAATCGCGCTGCCGAACACACCCTTTCACCCGCCTTTCCCCTTTCGAAATGCCCGGACAGCGAAGATCCCTTACCACATGGCTCATAGTCTAGCGCAGAACAACACAGATTTGTCGCCTGTACGGATGAGAAGTATACTACATGAAGTATTGTTAAGAAAATGCTTTTTTACTAAATATTGAGCTGACAAGA